TAATTGGAAACAAATGACATTCTGCTTTCCTGTGATGTCCACTTTCCGGCAGTAGCCTGGAACCTAACCTGCCATATAAGTGGGGCCCTACTGTACAGGTTTCCGTTTTACACTCACTTGGCAGGATGGTGGTACCTCCCTGGGTGGCTGCTGTCTACCAACCTACTACCTAAAATAATGTAATTTATATGCAATAAAACATTGTTAGGCACAAAAGAAAGCCAATAATGCAATTCAGACAAGTAGAATTTCTTATAATTTCTCATATTAACAATAGAGTGATTGTTTGTATTTTACCACTCTTCACCTGTCCAGACTTAAGTAGTCTATAAGTACTAGGTAAAGTCTGCCTGAAATGCCTAGGCATGATAGTGGTTTTCTTTGCTCCATTCATACTATATGTAAACACACATTGTAACCTTAAAAAAGAAATAAATATTTTATTTTATTTAATTTTTATGGTGTGAAGAAGCATTTCAATGCATAGTTATTATCATATTCATGGGAAGTGCTAAACCCACACAGTTCATTCAATGGAACATGGCAGAGGTGAACAAGATTTCAGAACAGAAGAGGTGGAGGTGTTAAGGTGAGGCACATGAACAGAATGGGAAGGGAAATAAGGGGAAATGCAGTTAAAAAATTCTGCAATAAAGGTGGAAGCCTCAGAGAGCAATACAGGCAGAACAACCATGTCAGTCACCAGCTAAATGTCAAAGCAAATTCTGATGAAATGGACAAAAATTATCCTGTTTGTTATTACCTTCTCCATGTTCTCAGAGTCTAGCTTAAAGATCCAGAGTTTTAATCTGGCGGGAAGTTCAGATATGGATGACAGCGTCATAAGAAACTGTTCTGCCGACCCCAGAGGAAGGTATGGGTTGAAAATAGTGGCTTCTTGAATCTTGTGCTTCTCTTCAGGCGTTGGTAACATTGTGGTCAATAATTTCTGCAAGATAAGAAAATAAGTTATTCAGCACAAAGCACTATGTCATTTTTAGGTTCTGGGTATACCTGGAGAGGGTTTCAGGGGTCAACGCCTCCATGGTCTGGTCTATGACCAGGCCTCGTGGTGGATCAGGACCTGATCAAGTGGGCTGTTACTGCTGGCTGCACATAGACATGTACAAACCACAGACTGGCTGGTCATGTACTGACTTTAGGTACCTGTCCAGTGCCTTCTTCAAGACAGCCAGGTGTCTCTTATTCAGTCAGGATCTCATGACCAATAGAAATAAAATAAGCCTAATTATTATTAACAAAGTCTAGAATAAATCATTAAATTATTACGAGGACTTACAAGCTGACATCTGAATAGTGTACAGGCGCACAGGTGTACTAGTGTACAGGTGTAGTAGGGTCTCGCCTTACGGCGTTCCACCAATTCGGCGATTTCAAATTAGGACCAAAACTTGGTATACGGCAAGTGGTCTTTCAAATATGGCATCCCCCCCCCAGTTTATTTACATTCTCCATGAGCTCATCTCTCTATTATGTCTGGAAACTTTCCAAAATTTCAAGTGTTTTAAAGTTATTGAATATTTTATATGTACTCTGATAATCATACTTATGTGTACCTGTACCTAAATATACTTACACACTGAGCTGGCATGCAGGTACACATTAAAATCACTGATAGTCTCTCTACTCTTAAAGTAATATGTAATGTCTTGGGCACATTAAATGTCTTATATTATGTTAATATAGACATTTCCATTAATTCATCTATAATATTCTTTTCAAAAATATATATTAAACATGTTACGTAACATATAAACATGATGAATACACCCCACAGTAGAATAAATTAACATAAATATGAGACATGGTAGCCAGGCGACTTGTAGTCCAACATCACAGAAAATGTGTCACTATAATATTATTGGGGTTAACTAGAAAATTATTCCTTTTGTATGCCTTCACTCAGAGCGTCATTTCTTCCAAAAATGGTGTTAAAGAGAATGGGAGTGTTTCTCTTTATTTATTCTACTGTATCAACATGGAGACAACTTGTACACAATGTAAAGTGACGAAAACCAGACGCATTTGCCTGGTTTATTTACATTACGTGGGGTGGGGTGGGGTGTGCTTCCTTGGCTGGCTACCATCTGACTTCCTACAAATAAAACTCACCTCTCACCCTGCATTAAAACTACAAATATTTTAAGGTAAGTAATGGTGGATGAATTTGGTAGGGTGTGCAAAAAAAGAAAATTAAAAGTGAATACAGGAAAGAGTAAGGTTATGAGGATAAAAAGATTAGGTGATGAAAGATTGGATATCAGATTGGAGGGAGAGAGTATGGAGGAGGTGAATGTATTCAGATATTTGGGAGTGGATGTGTCAGCGGATGGGTCTATGAAAGATGAGGTGAATCATTGATGAGGGGAAAAGGGTGAGTGGTGCACTTAGGAGTCTGTGGAGACAAAGAACTTTGTCCTTGGAGGCAAAGAGGGAATGTATGAGAGTATAGTTTTACCAATGCTCTTATATGGGTGTGAAGCATGGGTGATGAATGTTTGCAGTGAGGAGAGAGGCTGGAGGCAGTGGAGATGTCATGTCTGACGGCAATGTGTGGTGTGAAATAATGCGAGAATTCGTAGTTTGGAAGTTAGGAGGAGTGCGGATTACCAAAACTGTTGTCCAGAGGGCTGAGGAAGGGTTGTTGAGGTGGTTCGGACATGTAGAGAGAATGGAGCGAAACAGAGGACTTCAAGAGAGTATCAGTCTGTAGTGGAAGGAAGCGGGGTAGGGGTCAGCCTAGGAAAGGTTGGAGGGAGGGGGTAAAGGGGGTTTTGTGTGCGAGGGGCTTGGACTTCCAGCGGGCATGCGTGAGCGTGTTTGATAGGAATGAATGGAGACAAATAGTTTTTAATACTTGACGTGCTGTTGGAGTGTGAGCAAAGTAACATTTATGAAGGGATTCAGGGAAACCGGCAGGCCGGACTTGAGTCCTGGAGATGGGAAGTACAGTGCCTGCACTCTGAAGGAGGGGTGTTAATGTTGCAGTTTAAAAACTGTAGTGTAAAACACCCTTCTGGCAAGACAGTGATGGAGTGAATGATGGTGAAAGTTTTTCTTTCTCGGGCCACCTTGCCTTGGTGGGAATCGGCCAGTATGTTAATAATAAAAAAAATTAATGAATGTAATGTAAATGTATTTTATTGCTCTGTGGAGGTTTAATTAAATGTCGTAGCATATTACGTATGGGTGGGGTGGGGTTGGCTGACCTGGCCTGGCTGGCTATCATACCTCCCGAACCTGACTTACTACAAATAAAACTCACCTCTCACCCTACATTAGGACTATAAATATTTTAAGGTAAGTAATGGGTGTACTGTGTATGTATTTTACTTTTTATTGTTTTTAATGCCTAGTTGCATTGCTAACTTAATAGATGTTAGTGTAAACTTCTTATCTGACATTTATATGCATTTATAAGTGGAAAAAATGGCGTTCTGTTATCCAGCACTGTCTGCTTTCCAGTAGTGGCCTGGAACCTAACCTGCCATATAAGTGGGGACTACTGTATACAAGTGTTCAGGTGTATAAGTGCACAAATGTACAGGTGTGCAAGTATACAAATGTAATAAAAATGCACATTAATCAATGAAATTTAGAGTGACTACACCCTGAAGAAGAGGTGAGGATGTTGTTGTTGGAAGGTTGATCTGAACTGTGGTGTCATCACACTTCTGGTGAGGATGTTGTTGTTGGAAGATTGATCTGAACTGTGGTGTCATCACACTTCTGGCGAGGATGTTGTTGTTGGAACGTTCATCTGAACTGTGGTGTCATCACACTTCTGGCAAGACAGTGACAGAATGAATGATGGTGAATGTGCTTCCTTTTTGTTGTGGTGAGTCACCACGACCTTGATGAGAGATGGCTGGTGTTTTAAACAAAGGAAATAAAAGAGGGGAGGGAGGGGCACACAGAGGCAGAGAGGGGGAAGGGACATATACACAGGCAGAGAGGGGGAGGGAGGGACATACACACACACAGGCAGAGAGGGGGGGACATACACACACACAGGCAGAGAGGGGGAGGGAGAGACATACACACACACAGGCAGAGAGGGGGAGGAAGGGACATACACACACACACAGAGGGAGATGGAGGGACATACACACACACAGGCAGAGAGGGGGGAGGGACATACACACACAGGCAGAGAGGGGGAGGGAGGGACATACACACACACACACAGGCAGAGAGGGGGAGGAGGGACATACACATACACAGGCAGAGAGGGGGAGGGAGGGACATACAACACACACAGGCAGAGAGGGGAGGGGACATACACACACACAGGCAGAGAGGGGGAGGGAGGGACATACACACACAGGCAGAGAGGGGAGGGAGGGACATACACACACACAGGCAGAGAAGGGAGGGATACCCACAGGCATATGAGGGGGATGGCCACCCACAGGCAGAGAATGGGAAGGGACACACTCAGGCACCGGAGAAGGGGGGAGGGACACACACAGGCACTGGAGAAGGGGGGAGGGACACACACAGGCACCGGAGAAGGGGGGAGGGACACACACAGGCACCGGAGAAGGGAAGAGGGACACACACAGGCAGAGAGGGGTGAGATACACACAGGCAGAGGGGAGGGAGGGACACACATAGGCAGATTGTTTTTTATTTGTCAGTAATAAACACTTTGGCAAATTTACATGGTACTTTCTCACTACCTTCAAGACCCAACAAACTGGTACTCAAATGGCCAACACAAGACTTGAAGCCATTTACATTTACTTTAAATGTCCTAAACCTATCCAACAGATATTCAACAAAGGACACGTGGTCATCCCACGTATGAACAACTACAATTATAACAGCCAGGTAACCTTTCATAAATATTTCCAAGACATCAATCTGCTTCAGTTTAACAATTAAACAATACTACATACCAGGTAGCTTTCCACAGGATTCCTATTATAGTTTCCACTTGCTGTCTCAGGTTTGCACTCACTGCCTCTGGTTTCCACTCACTGCTTCTGGCTACCTTTTCTTGGCTATGACTCTCCAGACTCCAAAATCATATTCATCAACCGGTAAGAAACAAAAGCCTTTAAAAATCTGAAAAACAAATTACTGGCAGCACCACATTCGAGACATTTAACACACTTAAAAGCCTCTTCAAATCTACAATCTTTGCAGGAACTTGTAATCAAGAGCAAATGGATAATTTTCAATAACAAAAACTTTGGCAAATTTACTTGCCACAACCTATGTCATGACCCAACAAAGTTATACTAAAATGGCCAACAGATAACTTCTAGTCATTTACATTTACTTTAAATGTCCTAAATATCTCCAAGCGATATTCAAAATGGGACGCAGGTTCATCTCATGTATTACACACTAACTCCAGTTATAACAACCAGGTAAGCTTTAAAATCCTACAAGAGCCTCATGGATAAATATTACAAAGATAGAAATCTACAATACTACATACCTGGTAACTTTAAAGAGACCAACTTTACAAACAAAAAGGCACAGAAACAGAAACATCTGCTGCAACCCTGGAAAAGGAAGGCATGAACATGGACTTTCATATGATTTACGAGGCCCTGGTCAGAAATCCTCGTAAAACAAACTGTTAAGCCTTAGATAAACTTCTCCATGGTAAGGTCAGCATAAGAGAAGAAGTTTGTGTTCTTGCACTGTGCTCAGAACTGCATCTACAATTTAATACAATGATGCTAAAACACAGCATGTTCCAAGAGAACCATCATCCCCAGACAACTATATAGACTTTAACCCTTTCAGGGTTTCGGCCGTACTAGTATGGCTTACGTGCCAGGGTTTTTGACGTACTAGTACGCCTAAATTCTAGCGCCCTCAAATCTAGTGAGAGAAAGCTGGTAGCCTACATATGAAAGAATGGGTTATGTGGTCAGTGTGCATGGTATAAAAAAATCCTGCAGCACACAGTGCATAATGAGAAAAGAAAAAAAACTTTGATCGTATTTCTGGATTAAAACAGTGACTTTGCACTGTATTTTTGTATGGTATTTATTGTTATATTCTAGTTTTCCTGGTCTCGCTTTATAGAATGGAAGACATATTACAGAAATTGAGATGATTTTGACTGGTTTTACAATGAAAAGTACCTTGAAATTGAACTCAAAGTAGCAGAAATATTCGATTTTTACCAAAGTTCAAAAGTAAACAAATCATGCTATGCGTCCAATACACGTCAACTGGTGAGTCTGATATTCTTTCACAAGTGCGCTGATATTATTTATACCATTTCTACACCAATGCAGTAGTCTGCGTAAGAGTAAATCTTCTATTTTTTTGTGAGAATAAAAATTCAAAGTGGAAAGCAAAAGAATGTAAGAGGGGCATGGGGATGTGACTAATGAGCAGAGGAAATGTAATTTTAGTGCCAGGAATGTCATTCTTGTTTATTCTGGACCCTATTCGGAAATTGGCATCTTTTGAAATTTGTGTGAAATTTGCAAAATTGCTAAATTCTGACTACTGTATTGGATAGTTGAAATCGGTAAATGGGTGGTTTCTTGTACTCATTCAATAAAAAAAATGGAGTTCTAGTGAAATAATTATGATTTTTGTCAACAAGTACACTGGAATTGGCCGAAAATAGGGCTCAAAGTGGGCAATATCGCCGATGCATAAACATCGTCAAGACCGCTAACTTCGCAAGAGCATAATTCCGTAAGTTTTCCATCAAATTTCATACTTTTGGTGTCATTATGATCAGGAAAAGATTCTCTATTTTTCATAAGAATTTTTTTTTTTTTTTTTAAATTTGGCCGACCCTGAGAACAAGTCTTCGAGAGGGCCTGTCGACCCTGAAAGAGCTAATACCCAGTGTAATCCTTGGTTTTAACAAAATTGTTAAGCAGTAAGGTCTATTATTCCTGAAGTTAGATGCTTCAATGGGACACATTTCTATTGCTTAAGGGAGATTTGACTATACAAACACATGCATACCATACAGTTCTTTCCTCTAGTTGCCTTTTGTTGGGGCAGCGACCTTCATGTGATCAGCTGAAGATTGCTGCAGTCATTTTATGTCTTTTATCATTGTTGGTTTTCAGGAAGGTTTTGTTTTCCAGTTCACAGGTCCATCAATGATCTATGATGATCTCTGCCCCTACAATGTTCCTGGGAAGAAAAAAAACATGTTAAGAAACCACACACACAAAAAAAAAGAACCTCTGAAGAAGCCTGTTTAGGTTCTTTATAGTGTGGGTGACATAATCCACCAGCATTATAAGAAAATGATAACCATTAAATACACTTATTGCAACACAAATCGCAACCACATGACTTTGCAGATTTGCAATACAATACTGTAGGGAGGTTTGTAGAGATAATGCAGCTGAAATCTCAGGTTCAAACACTATGTTACTGAAGCAGAAGAATGCAACAACACTGCAAGTTTACAATGCAATACTGTCTATAGAGAAGATCATGCAAACCACATTAACACTTTAGGACAAGCACCCACCCCCCTCCCTATATATAAAGAATACAAGAGTTGCATTTTTTGCCAGCTTACTTGCTTATATCAAGATAAACTAGGTAGAAATGAATGAGCTAATGACAGCAGCAATTACAGTGGAACCTCTGCTTACAAATGCCCCACCATGCGAACTTTTCAGGATATGAACAGTCATTTGGTCAATTTTTTACTTCTGGATATGAACAAAATTTCAGGATGCATTCTTCCCCCTCAAGGGAGGTTCCTTAACTCTTTGACTGTTTCGGTCGAATGTTTACATCTTACAAGCCAATGTGTTTGACGTATATTTTTTATTTTTAAAATTTAAAATTTTCTAGCGGCTTCAAATCAAGCAGGAGAAAGCTGGTAGGCCCATATGTGAGAGAATGGGTCCATGTGGTCAGTGTACACTGTATAAAAAAAATTCTGCATCACGCAGTGCATAATGAGAAAAAAAATTTTGACTGTGTTTTTGGATTAAAACACCGACTTTGAGGTGTACTTTCGTATAGTTTTTATGGTTATATTCTCGTTTTTGTAGTCACATTTGATAGAATGGAAAACATATTATAGAAATAGAGGTGATCTTGATTGGTTTTACTATGAAAAGGACCTTGAAATGGAGCTCAAAGTAGGGGTAATGTTTGATTTTTGCCGATGTACAAGAGTATACAAATGACGTCATTGTCCAATAAATGTCCAAGTAGCCATTCTAATATGCAGTCATGAACGGGTTGACATTATTTATACAATTATTACAATATTGCAGTAGTCTGCATAACAGTAAATCTTCTATTTTTTGAGTAAAAATTCAAAATAGAAAGCAAGAGTATTATCAGAGGGGCTTGGAGACATGACTGATGAACAAAGAAAATGCTATTTAAGAGCCAGAAATGTCTGCATTGTTCATTCTGGACCCTATTTTGAAATTGGCATATTTTTTAATTTGCATGAAATTGGCCAAATTGCCAATTTCTGACCACTTTATTGGGTAGTTGAAATCAGTAAATGGGCAGTTTTTTGTACTCAATCGATAATACAAATGGAATTCTAAAGAAATAGCTGTGAGTTTGGTCGACTGGAACAATGGAATTAGATGAAAATAGGGCTCAAAGTGGGCGAAATCGACGATTCGTAAATATTGCCGAGGTCGCTAACTTCCCGTGAGCGTAATTCCGTAAATTTTCCATCAAATTTCGTACTTTTGGTGTCATTACCATCGGGAAAAGATTCTCTATCATTTCATAAGAAAAAATTTTTTTTTTTTTCAAATATTTTGTGACACCAGGAGACACCTCAGGATTTGGGTTAAATAAATAAATAAATAAAATATTTATTTCTTTGCAAAGGTTACAATGTTTACATATCATAATAAAATTGGAACAAAGAAAGCCACTATCATTATTATTACTATTATATTCTATTACTATTATTATTGTTGGTAATTTTTACCACTGAACCTATCATTGCTTAGTTAATTTTAAGTTGATTTTAAGCTGCCCATAATGTTCTACATACAAGGTGCTTTTGTACACCCAAATACTATAATTACTTGTACAACTATGTGTCCAAATATATTATTATTATTATTAGTAGTAGTAGTAGTAGTACGTACATGGTGAAGGGCTCTTGATCTAGGGAATTGAATCTGTGCTTCAGTTCCTTAAACTAATAATAATAATAATAATAATTATAATAATAATAAAATAATTACAATAATAATAATACAATATAATAGTAATAATAATATGCTGTCATTTTTTGACATTTTTCATAATTTTTTTCAGATTTTGGTGCCAAATGTTTCAAAATACAAATTGGTAACCCTATGGGTGGCTGTAGCTACTATGAGACCACGACTATCTCGGTGCCAACCAAGGTAACCCTATGGATGGCTGTAGCTACTGTGAGACCACGACTATCTCGGTGCCAACCAAGGTAACCCTATGGTGGCTGTAGCTACTGTGAGACCACGACTATCTCGGTGCCAACCAAGGTAACCTATGGGGGCTGTAGCTACTGTGAGACCACGACTATCTCGGTGCCAACCAAGGTAACCCTATGGGTGGCTGTAGCTACTGTGAGACCACGACTATCTCGGTGCCAACCAAGGTAACCCTACGTGTGGCTGTAGCTACTGCGAGACCACGACTATCTTGGTGTCAACCAAGGTAACCCTATGTGTGGCTGTAGCTACTGTGAGACCACAACTATCTCGGTGCCAACCAAGGTAACCCTATGTGTGGCTGTAGCTACTGTGAGACCACGACTATCTTGGTGCCAACCAAGGTAACCCTATGTGTGGCTGTAGCTACTGTGAGACCATGACTATCTCGGTGCCAACCAAGTAACCCTATGTGTGGCTGTAGCTACTGTGAGACCACGACTATATCGATGCCAACCAAGGTAACCCTATGTGTGGCTGTAGCTACTGTGAGACCACGACTATCTTGATGCCAACCAAGGTAACCCTGTGTGTGGCTGTAGGTACTGTGAGACCACGACTATCTCGGTGCCAACCAACCCTATGTGTGGCTGTAGCTACTGTGAGACCATGACTATCTCGGTGCCAACCAAGGTAACCCTATGTGTGGCTGTAGCTACTGTGAGACCATGAATATATCGGTGCCAACCAAGGTAACCCTATGGGTGGCTGTAGCTACTGTGAGACCACGACTATCTAGGTGTCAACCAAGGTAACCCTATGTGCGGCTGTAGCTACTGTGAGACCACGACTATCTTGGTGCCAACCAAGGTAACCCTATGTGTGGCTGTAGCTACTGTAAGACCACGACTATCTCGGTGCCAACCAAGGTAACCCTATGTGTGGCTGTAGCTACTGTGAGACCACGACTATCTTGGTGCCAACCAAGGTAACCCTATGTGTGGCTGTAGCTACTGTGAGACCATGACTATCTTGATGCCAACCAAGGTAACCCTGTGTGTGGCTGTAGCTACTGTGAGACCACGACTATCTCGGTGCCAACCAACCCTATGTGTGGCTGTAGCTACTGTGAGACCATGACTATCTCGGTGCCAACCAAGGTA